CTGAGGGATAGCCAAGCTGAAATCTCCAAAAAAACCCAAAAGGAGATACTTCATAGAGCTTTCAGGTTGGTGAACATGTGGAGATTTGGGGAGAAACGGAATGTCTGGAGAAGACAAGGAAACTCCATGCCTTTCCCTCATACCTTGCCCTGTACATCTCTTCAGTTTGACTATCCCTTAGTTACATCTTAGTTACTGGAGATATCAGTCTGGATTTTACGTTCAACCATATTTCTGAAACTGGTTTATAAAGGATCAACATTCATGTAGTCAATAAACATAATAAACATTTTTTTTTTCCTTTTCAGTTCAGATTGTCTTTGACCTATCTGTTGGCACTGTTAGCTATGTCTTTCTTGATAGTCTCATTTTTTAGGCTTCTGTGGCTTTTACTTCCTTTGGTTCTTCAGTGTCTTTCCCTGTTGCCTCTTCCTTGTAAAGGTAATATTTGTCAAGGGTTTGTCCTTGACTCATTTTTTCCCTTGGTAATCTCATAATTTTAGTAATCATCATCAAATGCTACAGATGCAGACTCCATCTGTCTCACCAGTTCTACTGCCCTTCCATTCTTCAATTGCTTGTTAAACATTCCTCACCATTACTTCAAGTGTGATATGTTTAAAATGTTCCCATTTTCAGTCAAACTTAGTTGTTTTTTTTCCCCCAATGGGTCTTTTGGTAGCACTCTTCCCTTTCCAGTCACTCACATTTAAAACCTTGGCATTTTCTTTTATTTTTTTCCCCCTTTATTTCCCATATCCAATTAGTTTCCAAGGGTAATAATTTTAACTTCTATACTGTCTCTCACCTCATTCTTTTCTATTTCTACTGTCACTATCCTTATTTCAGTCAGTCTTTTGCTGTGACTTCCTCATGAACTCCTTAATGTAGAATTGTAAAAGAGCCTGGATTTTGCAGTGAAACATACCCAAGTGCTAATTGTGAAGATGGCACTTACTAGCTGTATGACTTAGAGCAAATTATTTAACCTCAATTTACAGATGAGAAATTCCAGATACAGAGTAGTTACTTCTACCTCATGTACTATCTCATTTTGAAGGATAAATAGGATGACTTGTACCTAGTGAGAAGGCATTGTGATAATATTTCTCCCTACCTATTTTTAAAAAATTGATTTATTTATATATACAAGAGCCAGGGCGCAGGCCAGAGATGGGGGTGGGGGGGGGGCGGTGAGAGGATTCACCAGAGACAGAGTGGGGAGCAGAACAGGCAGACGGACTGAAATACACTGTTGAGGGGAGTATCAGGCAAGGCAGGAGAGGTCTGCTGTGCCACGTGGGTCACCTCCATGGCTGGGGATCGAAGTTGGGCTGCAGTGGCTGAAGATAGCTTCATAGTGCTGCGTCTTCACACCTTGCACCACCAGGGAGGCCCTCTCCCTACTTTTTATATCTTTCTAGCCTGGTCATATGAGTAAGGCTATGCTTAAAGAATATTAATCTATTATTCTCTTGCTCTTTAATGTTCTCCCACTCTCTGATTTGCCCATAATTTTCAGCCTTGTGTTTCAGATTATCTACTAATTTGCTTCAGCCTCCCTTTCTGACCTTATTTCCTCTTTCCCTTTGTAAACATCCACTTGAGCCAAATAAAACCACTAACAATGCCCAGTAGCAAATTGGTTAAGAGAATAGTCAGGCTACCTGGATTTGTTTGTTTATTTAAAAAAATGTATTTATTTATTCATGCAAGAGCTGGGGTGTAGGCCAGAGGTGCAGGAGGGTGAGAGGATTTACCAGAGACAGAGTGGGGAGCAGAACAGGCAGATCCATTGAAATACACTGCTGAGGGGAGCAGTGGGTGAGACAAGAGAGGTCTGCTGCGCCATGTGGGTAGCTCCCTGGCCGGGTATCGAATTTGTACTGCTGTGGCTGCAGATTGCTTCATAGTGCTGAAACTTAACCCCTTACACCATCAGGGAGGCCCAGGCTACCTGGATTTAAATCCCAGGTACTTATTTGGCAAATTATTTAATCTCCCTAAGCCTTAGTTTTTGGTGTGAAAAAAGCCAGGATTATTATAGTGCCCACTGTATTGGGCTTTTAGAAGGAGATCGTGTGTATAAAACATTTGGTGCCTGGCAAACTGCCTGATCATTGAGAGCAACCACTGTTAATAGGAAGTAATAGTAGTTGTTGATGTATTTGTTTCTTCCATCCCCATGCTCATTCTTTTCTCTGCATGTTCTTTCTTATTTGTACCTGTCTGAATTTTATTTACCTCTTAAAGATCTTCCTTGACTCTCTTACTCCTGTGTGTGTCACCTGCTTCTCCCTATTTTCCCTCTTCAGAATTCTTTAAGTCTTTGAGTTTAGGATGCTTGTTACTTTTATATGCTTAATGTGTCCATATTCTTTTTAGAAGACTGAAAGTGCTTTGAATTGTATAATTCATATTTTGTATCTTCTAAAGCATAGTATCTTATACAGAATTGTGCTAAAAAGTATTTGCTGAATAAATATGTTAATTAACCAAACGGCTCTTTGGTTCCAAGGGATCCACTTTCACTTTTCTAGGCCCTTTTGTAAAATCTTCATTAATCATAGGTATATTTTCAAAAAATTTAATTTTGTCATGAAAATGCCATTATTGGGCTTAAGGAGACTAAAGAAAAGCTATTATAACAGAAGACAGTAATAGCAAAAACAAAAACTGAGCAGGTGGCATGCTTTGAATTAAGCAAAATTATTTTTTAGACATTAGTTATTGTATCACATCTACTGTATACCAGGTAGCATCAATCATGGTGCCAAATTGGAGTATGAAGGAGACATTCGTAGATAATAATTGATCTAAAATCTGCTTTTACTGCAATAAAAAATAACATAACTTAATGAATTCAAGTAGATTGAATACCTTGTTCAGTTAAACAAGACATTGTCCTTAAGGAGTGTCACCCTCATATTGTGCATAAATGGACTTTTCTCTTGGTAATCATTCCCACAGGCCCTGGGAAAGAGGTGGGGCGGGAGTAAGGGAAGTTCCACTTGAGAATTTTTTTCCCACAGTGATTTGGCATGACTTCAGCTTGTCCTTCAGCATAATGCATGCCTTGTCCTTGTAAAAGGAAGCTTTTTGTTTGCTTTCATGCCTTTACAAATACTTCTTCTGGTCATTTTTAGATGACTTGTAGGTGGTATGCTATCATTATAGAGAGGGTCTTCAAGGCCAAGAGGCAAGTGTTAGAGACTTTATTAGACACGTTATTGATTTTTTAGACAGATATTGATCAACCCATTTCAATGGCAATATCTTTCCATTCAAGAATGGCCATACCTTACTTGACCATAAAAACCTAAGGACTTAGTTATCTTACAGTATATTATTTGGAATTTAGGGCAGGGTAGACTTTTTTGGTATACTTTAGAAGTGTGATTTATGTAATCTGTACAGTTGTTAGATGATTTTATACTTGATGCCCATATAAAGGGTTTTTAAAAAATATTTATACAAGAACTGGAACAAGCCTGGGGTGGGGGGGGCGGTGAGAGGATTCACCAGAGACAGAGTAGGGAACAGAACAGGCAGATGTACTGTAATACACTTCTTTGAGGAGCAGTGGGCGAGATAGGAGAGGTCTGCTGTGCCATGTGGGTCATCTTCCTGGCAGGGGATTGAACTCATGCTGCAGTGGCTGCAGATAGCTTCATAGGCTGCGTCTTAACCCATTGTGCCACCAGAGAGACCCAAGGAATTTTTTATTAGACACCAGTTCTCCCCTACTGCTGGAAAGAAGTGGGGAGGGATGCAGGTGGGATGCAAAACATGACTAATTGGTAGAACTATTGCATACATTTTTAAATTGTAAGATTTTTTTTCTCTACTGAGATAAAACTTGGTATTAATACTTTACAAAGATGTTTAATTTTTGTTTTCATATCAAAATCTCAAGGAAATTGAGAGAACACGCAGACAGCTTAGGCATAGAAGAAATTTAAGAAACTGTTACCCTGTAACATTTTCTGCTGAACTTAAGAAACAAATACTTTTTTGTATTTATATGAATTATTTAGGGAAACCTTTTTGCTGTAATGACTAAATATAAGTTGCAGTAATTTAAACCCTTCCTTATATTAATGTTCCACCTCATTAGCTTCATTGTTAGGGATTTTATACTTAAGAGATTTAAATAAAATGATCTAAATGTAGTTTTGTTGTCCCTGTCTCCTTCTGTTTCCCTCTGTCTCCTTTTTGAGGAATAGATGATTGTATATTTAGTTTTGTGTTTTCATTTAGACTCTTGTTAATTCTATTAAGTATAAGAGGATAATGGAGGGAAATTATTGTGTAACTAAATGTCTTTTGCTGCCGAAGCCCTGACAGGTAAGGGAATGTGTTTGTGACGATAAACTGGTCATTTCATAAACTGACATTTTATCATTTTTACTTTCAAATGGTCATCAGAGATCAGGAACTTCATAGCTGCGTTCTATTGTGGAGTTCAGAATGGTGATTACATATGAACTTTCTCATTTCCTGTGGTATATATAGCTCTGGAACCCAAATAAGGAAGAGCTTTGCTGAAAGCAAACTATGTGTATCCTTAAAAATGTTTTCTAAGCATTTTCAGAAAAAAATAAGGATTATACAATGAATTTCCAAGCAAAGTCACCTTTGCAAATATTTGCAGCTACTTGCAAATGGTAGACATATTTAGGCAATAAGGTTTTTTCCTACATGAGTTACTGCTCAATGTGAGCACTCCTTAGCACTATATACCCCAAATGCACATTACATGTCTTTGTTAAAAATGTAGAGAAAAAAAGTTAATTTAACTTGAAGTCAGGGGAATGAGGCTGTCATGTAGTCAAACATTTTGCATTAAAAATATTTTTACTAATGTTATTAAATAATTTTATCAAGACCAATCTGTATTTGTTCCCATTTAAATTGAGCTGTGAATTTCATCTTGTATACATTTAGGTAGTAATGTGAGTTATTGATAATCATTTCTAACCATTTCTTTTATTTTCCAGCTCACCAGCGACTGGAACCAGCCAGTCTGTCAGGAATAGTGGCTTTTATCCTTAGTCTTTTATGTGGAGCTCTGAATTTAATTCGAGGCTTTCATGCCATAGAAAGTCTCCTGCAGGTACTGTGCTATTTTTGCAATTTCAGTTGATATGCCTATTGATTCTACTTGTTTCACAATTGATTTGGATTGATTTGGATACTAATACAACTTACAGTACATGCTCAGATTCTGTATTCTTTATACTAACCTTATTTTTTTCTAAAAATACTGACTTCTAGTTGGATTCTTTGACTCAACACATGTTTGTTTATTTCTCTGGGAACCCCCCAAGATATGTGTGACATGAAGTTTCAGAGTCTAGAGTTGAATTGGAAAGGTGAAGAAGTTACAGGTAATTAACAAATACACAGAATTTGGAAGAGGCATTGTCAGTGTGAGTCAGGATAGGAGAAGGTGGTTCTGTGGAGGAAGGTGAGCTGGACCTGGAAGGGTCTGAGTAGGTAGGGAGGAGCACAAGAAAGAGGAGGGTCCATGGTTTCTGTCCCACTCTGTGATTCTTAGTCATCTGCTCTCACTGCTTCAATGTGGGTGCTATCTGTGAGACACTAATTCTTTCAGACACTGCAATTGTTTTATTTTCCATTGAAGTTTCTTCTGGAGACTGCAGCTGTCAGAACATACTTTCTCTCTTATCTTTTGGTAAGCTTTTGAAACTTCCTTTCTTAAAGTTTAATACATTTCAGGCTATACAACTTTCCTCTCCTTGTTTCTACTCATTTCCCCTGAAGATGCCACTCCCACATTATAAATCAGTTCTCTTTTTTTCAGGTCAGCATTAAGCTCAGAATACCATTCATAAAAAGCCATTAATACACCTTGTATTATGTTTTAAAATATATTCTGGGCCTCCCTGGTGGCACAAGGGGTTAAGCACCCCACTATGAAAACTTATATCCACATAAACAGCACAAGAACACATATGTCCATTTTATTTGTAATTTTAAAAAGTGGGAAGCAGCTGAGATGTCTTTCAAAAGGTGAACTGGTAAGCAAACTGTGGCAATCCTTACAACATATTATTTGGTCATACAAAGAAATGAACTCTAAAAGATATGGCTAAACTTCACATGCATATTGTTTAATGAAAGAAGCGAGTCTGAAAAATAACTACATGCCATATTATTCCTACTATAACATTATAGAAAAGTCAGAAAAACTATAGAGACAATATGTAAAAATAGTCATTGTCAGGGATTTGTAGGAAGGGATGAATGGTTGAAGCAGGGAATTTTTAGGATAGTGAAACTATCTTCCTTGTTATTAAAGTGGTGATCATGTTATACATTTGTCAAAATCCATGGAATGTAAATATGAGCAGGGGAAAGAGCTGGTGGGAATTCTCTTTAACATCTAACTAATTTTCTGTAGACCTAAAACCACTCAAAGATAAAAATCTGTTACACATACACATAGCATTAAACACTAGAAAAAGGAGGAACATTCTTTGGACTTTAATGTTCTTTCATTAAGAAGGACTCCACTTGAGAGTTCAAGTAGGGACTGTTGCATCCAATTCACTATGGAAGTGGTGGCCGAGGCCTTATCTTCTCATGGAGGCGCTTGGTCTTCTTCACATAGGCCAGATGGAGACCTTAGAACCCCAACCAGAATGGATCCTGGCTTGGGAATGTGATTTATGTTAAGGTGAGACGTAGTTTTTTGCCCTTTGAGAACATTGAGAAAGTCAATGAAAGACATACAGACCAGGTGCTTGCACTCCCCAGTCTCTTTTAGCTCAGCCCCTTTGTTGAGCTACCCTCAACAAAAATGGCCTGGGAAGATGACAGTGTGCTTCAAGTAGCATTAATTTGCATTAGGAAAACTGGAAATATAACAAATTAATAAACATGGTGGGAACTGGAAAGATAGAAAGCAGAGAGGGAATGAGACTTCACATTATATACCTTTTATATTTATTTTTTAATTATATGAATATATTGCTTTTTAGATCTTAAGTAATAAAAATGACCTACATAAACAAGAAAAAAGGACTTTTGTTAAACAACTGAATATATTTTTAATTAACAAAAATGTTATGCATAGTGTAGATAAATATTTTTGTGGAGTGCAAAGAGAGCCTGAGCATTTTGCCTGGGCTTTTATAGCTTCTTGCCTATCAAGAGTCTTAAGTTGCCTAGAACTTTCATGATTGGTTTTAAACAGTTCTCTAAAATATTGATAGTAAGGTATGAAAGCAGCACAGGGTAAATTATGAATAGGGAAAAGGTTAGAGTGATCTTTTTATTATATATCCACAATATAATATGTAAATATTGTATAATTTAATTTGGGGACACTCTCGATGCTTGTCTCTTTGAAGGGGTGTCTTTCTCTTGATTTGGTACAGGACCCTTTCTTCACTCTTTTCTCCAACAACAATTCTCTCTCACTTGATCCAGAAAACTAAATGGTCCATAAATATATTGGTCCAGGAATTCTTAACTGTCTGAAAACAAGGGGCATCTGATTATGTTGTCAGATTAGCATTGTTTTATTTTATTTTTTTTTTATTTTTTTTTTTTTAAATATTAAATTTTATTTTTATATTTCCCCATACAATTGCAAACGCCCCATTCTGACCCCAATCCTTCCCCTCCCGCTCCCCACCCCCAAAAAGTGTCTCTGGTTCATAGTTTTTTGTTGATTTTTATTTTCACTTTCTTATATTCATTTTCCTGGTCCCTTATTTAAGTTTTCTAGATTCCTGCTATGAGTGAGACCATCCGGTATTTTTCTTTTTCTTTTTGGCTTATTTCGCTGAGCATGATCCCTTCCAGTGCCATCCATGTTGCTGCAAATTGCATGTGTTTATCTTTTTTGAATGCTGAGTAATATTCCATGGTATATATGTACCACATCTTCTTGATCCAGTCATCTATTTTTGGGCATTTGGGTTGTTTCCAAAGCTTAGCTATTGTAAACAGTGCTGCTATAAACATAGGAGTGCAGGTGCTCTTTGGAATTGATGTTTCTGTGTCCTTTGGGTAAATACCTAGGAGTGGAATTGCTGGATCATATGGAAGCTCTATGTTTAGTAGGTCCAGAAATCTCCACACAGCTCTCCATAGTGGTTGGACCAGTTTGCACTCCCACCAACAGTGCACAAGAGTTCCTTTTTCTCCACATCCTCGCCAACATTTGTTGTTGCTAGTTTTTTTAATATGTGCCATTCTCACTGGTGTGAGATGGTATCTCATGGTAGTTTTGATTTGCATTTCCCTGATTACAAGTGATGTTGAACATTTTTTCATATGTCTGTTGGCCATTTGCATTTCCTCTTCAGAGAAGTTTCTCTTTTAGCTCTTCTGCCCATTTTTTGACTGGATTATTTTCTTTGTTGTTGCTGAGTCTCATCAGCTCTTTGCAGATTTTTGTGATCAGTCCTTTATCATTAGTGTTGGGTGCAAAAATGTTCTCCCAGTTGGTGGGGTTTCTCTTTGTTTTTGTTATTGTCTCTTTTGCTGTGCAGAAGCTCTTTAATTTGATGTAGTCCCAGCTGTTTATCTTTCTCTTCACTATCACTGCTTTGGGTGATGTGTCTGTAAAGATGTCTTTGATGTGCAAATCACGTAGTGTTTCGCCTATATGTCCTTCTATGTATTTTATGGTTTCAGGTCTTATGTCTAGTTCTTTAATCCATTTTGAGTTGATTTTGTGTATGGTGTGAGGTAGTGGTCAAGCTTCATTCTTTTGCATGTAGCGACCCAGTTTTCCCAGCACCATTTATTGAACAAACTTTCTTTGCTCCAATGCATAGTCTTTGCTCCTTTGTCAAAGATTAGTTGACCATAAATCTGTGGGTTTATTTCTGGATTTTCTATTCGATTCCATTGGTCTGTATGTCTGTTCTTGTTCCAATACCATGCAGTTTTGATGATTATGGCTTTGTAGTATAGTTTGAAGTCTGGGAGTGTGATGCCTCCATTTCCTTCTTTTTTTTTCAGTAGAGCTTTGGCTATTCGGGGTTTTTGGTGATTCCATATGAATTTCATCAATAATTGTTCTATTTCTTTGAAGAATGACATTGAGATTTTGATTGGAATAGCATTGAATCTGTATATTGCTTTTGGTAGGATGGCCATTTTAATAATGTTTATTCTTCCAGTCCATGAGCAGGGGATGTCTTTCCATTTCTTTGTGTCTTCTTCTATTTCTTTTAACAGTGTTTTATAGTTTTCTTTGTATAGGTCCTTTACCTCTTTTGTTAGATTTATTCCCAAATATTTGATTTTTTTTGTTTCGATAATAAAAGGGGTGGTTTTTTTGATTTCTTCTTCTTCAGATTTATTGTTTGTGTATAGGAAGGCTACTGACTTTTGCGTGTTGATTTTGTATCCTGCCACTTTACTGAACTGATTGATGAGTTGAATTAGTTTTTCTGTGGAGTTTTTGGGGTTCTCTATGTATATTATCATATCATCTGCAAATAGTGATAGTTTGACTTCTTCTTTTCCTATTTGGATTCCTTGGATGTCTTTCTCTTGTCTTATTGCTCTGGCTAGGACTTCCAGTATTATATTGAAAAGCAGTGGTGAGAGTGGACATCCTTGTCTTGTTCCAGATCTTAATGGAATTGCTTTCAGCTTTTCACCATTGAGAATGATACTGGCTGTTGGCTTGTCATAGATGGCCTTTATGATGTTGAGGTATGTTCCTTGTATCCCAAGAATTTCAAGGGCTTTTATCATGAATGGGTGTTGCACTTTGTCGAAAGCTTTCTCAGCATCTATTGATATTATCATATGGTTTTTATATTTCTTTTTGTTGATGTGTTGGATAACGTTGATTGATTTTCGGATGTTAAACCATCCTTGTGCCCCTGGAATGAATCCAACTTGGTCATGGTGAATTATCTTATGGATACATTGTTGGATTCTGATAGCTAAAATTTTATTGAGGATTTTTGCATCAGTGTTCATTAGGGAGATTGGCCTATAGTTTTCCTTTTTTGTGTTGTCCTTATTCGGTTTTGGTATTAGTGTAATATTGGCTTCATAGAACGTGTTTGGTATTGTCCCTTCCTTCTCAATTTTTTGGAAGAGTTTGTGAAGGATAGG